TTCTTTCTTTCTTTCTTTCTTTCTTTCTTTCTTTCTTTCTTTCTTTCTTTCTTTCTTTCTTTCTGTTTCTCTCTTTCTTTTTTCTTTCTTTTTCCTTTCTTCCTTTTTTCTCTCTTTCTTTTTCTCCCTCCCTATCTCCCTCTCTGTTCTTCCCTCCCTCTCCCTCTCCCTCCCCCTCTCCCTCTTCCTCCCTCCCCCTCTCTCACTTTCTTTGTATGTATGCCAATACTGGGGCTTGAACTCAGAATGTTTCTCTCACTTGACTTTTTTGCTCAAGGCTTGAGCCACTTGAGCCATAGCTCTACTTCTGGCTAGTTAATTGGAGATAGGTATCTCTTGGACTTTTCTGCTCTGGCGGGCTTTAAACCATTATCCTCCTTTCTCAGCCTCCTGTCTTTTGGCAAGGTCAATTTTTTCTTGAAGTCCATTTCTAGAGGACAACAATGATTTTTTTTCATAGCTTTTTAAAAATTTTCAGTAGTGGGGCTTGAATTTTGGACCTGAACACTGTTCTTCAGCTCTTCAGCTCATGGTGAGTACTCTACCACTTGAGCCACAGCATCACTTCTGGTTTTCTGGTGGTTAACTGGAGATAAGAGTCTCACCTGGGCTAGCATTGAACAGTGATTCTCAGATCTCAGACTCCTGAGTAGCTAGGATTATAGGCGTGAGCCACTGGCGCCCAACAACAATGATATTTTTTACTCATGGTAAAAAATGATGACTTTTTTTCCCAGATTTAAGATATTGTAGATTTTTTTAAATTGTGAAAATACTTTACAGAGGGGTTACAATTACATGGGCAAGATAATGAGTACATTTCTTATCAAGCATTGTTGCCTTCTCCTTTGTTTCCCCTACCCATCCCTTCCCATCTCCCACCCCCACTCCCCCAGCCCCCTCCACCCCCATGCCTCATCCGTTTAATACTCAATACTTGCTTACTTCCTTTTGGTTTATTTTTCCTTTTAAGAACATGTGATTGGGCTGGGAAGGTAGCTCAGTAATAGAGCACTTGCCTTGCACGCCTGAGGCCCTGGGTTCGATTCCTCAGCACCACATAATCAAAAAGAAAAAAAGCCGGAAGTGGCGCTGTGGCTCAAGTGTTAGAGTGCTAGCCTTGAGCTGAAGAGCTGAGCGACAGCGCCCAGGCCCAGAGTTCAGGCCCCATGACCGGACCCCCCCCCAAAAAAAAAGAACCTGTGATTATGTTGGACTCATCTGAGAACTCCAGAACAATCTTCCATAACTTTAATTGGATCTTCAGAATCCATTGAACCTTATAATATAGCCTCCACAAAATAACACCAGGGAATGAAGATCATGATGGGGAGGCCAATGTCAAAACCTGCTTTTTACACAGCAGTGTGTGTGTGTGTGTGTGTGTGTGTGTGTGCACGTGTGCGTGTGCATGCGTGTGCATGCGCATGTATGTGTGCATGCACACACACACACACACACACACACGCACGCACGCACGCCCATGCTGGTACTGGGGCTTGAACTTTCATTTAGCTTTTTCACTTGAGGCTAGGGCTCTACCACTTGATCTACACCTCTACTTCAGCTTTTGGGTGGTTAATTAGAGATGAATCTCACAGGTTTGATTTCCTGGGCTTCAAATTCTGATCCTTTGATCTCAGCTTCCTAAGTAGCTAGGATTGTAGGTTTGAGCCACTGGCACCTGGTTTAAGCATTTCCTTTACTCTGAAGAAATTGTTTTCCCTAATTCAGAAATAAATAGCTTCAATCTACTATGCAATTGAAATACTTTGCACCATAAATTAGTGCTAGATAGTCTGGGAGTCCAGTGCTCCCAAAGGAGGGGAGTGGCACACTGTCTTCCATTCTTATTCCCCATTTTGTGTGAGAACCAATGCTCTGCTAAAAAGAAACTCTACTTCTGGGTAAAGCTGTTGCATTCTGCTTTGACTTCCAGGAAATTCATTGCACTTTGAGGGTGACAAGATAGTGGAGGAGGAATCTCAGTTTCCCGTGCCACCTGGCCAAGAGATCAACCCCAAGTCCCCAATGAATAGGAGCATCTTTGAAACCCAACCATTTAAGCCCATCTTGGATGATGACTCCAGCTCTACCAGTGGCTTCCCTACACAAGAGTCCTTTACCATGCCTTCCTGTGCTTCAGAGAGCCATTCCCACTGGGTCCACATCCCCATTGAATGCACAGAGCTGGACCTACAAAAGTTTTCTGGCTTTGCCTCCTATACTAGTACTGATACCTTGGATGGAAACACTAGTGGAAGCTCTGGAGAGCAGGTGGGGCTGAATGTGCCCCTTGGAGTGTGCAGCCTTTAACTACTGAGGTAAGCTGGAAAGATGGAGCAGAAGGCTGAGAAATTAGAGCCCACTTATTCTCAAGCAATTTCCCTTCTCTAATTCTATTGTTCAGTAGTCAAACAGTGGAAGAACAGCAACAAATTAGGAACCTTGATGGGGAGAGGGATGACAGCGGTGATAACAATCTTTTGAGCCAATCAGACATCAGACTTCTGAGCCTACAATTATCAGGGAACTGGTCAGGTTGCTAGGACATCAGTCTCTTCCTCTTGGCCTTCTGTAAGCTTTCTCAGGGCTCTACTGTCTTATAGTCACATTCACTTATTTCTTCTCTATACAACCAACATAGCATAGTAGAAAAAATATATAATGCTTGTCTTTTGGCAACCATATATTTCATATCAAGCTCCACTGTCTAATAATTTTATGACCCTTGTGTAAATACTTTCTCCTCTGTGAAAAGAAGAAAATATTTCCAAACGTTGATGGCTCATGCCCACAATCCTAGTTACCCAGTCGGCTTAGATCTGAGGAATACAGTTCAAAGCCAGCCCAGGTAGGAAAGCCTGTGAGACTTTATTTCCAATAAACTACAAGGAAAGAGAGAGACAGAGACAGAGATAGAGACAGAGACAGAGCGTCAGAAGCAGAGCTGTGGTTCAAGTGGTGGAACACTAGCCTTGAACAAAAGAACCTCAGGGATAGTGCTCAGGCCCTGAGTTCAAATCCCAGGACTAGCACAAAAATAAAAATGTAGAAACTACTACCCACTTCATAAGTTATTATTAAAAATTGATTACTGGAGTGTGCCACCATGATCAACTGGATTAAAAATATGATATGATAATGCCTTTTTACATATTGTGATGCATTTGAGACATTTAAGTCTTGTTCATTTTTCTTTTTCTCCCCTTTCATGGGCACAATTTATACATCATCCTATATTTATCTCATCCTACATTTATCTCACCATTAGAACCTCATGACTTTGTGGTCAATAGGCCAGGGTATGTTAGCTTCTTTCACAGAGGCAGCAACTGAGGCACAGAGAGGATAAGTGATTTTCTTTAAGTCATAGAACAATTCAGTGGCAGAACTAGGTGAGAGCCCAGGGTTAGAGGCTATATCACAGAGCTCATCCAACTCCACTACTGCAGTTATAATCAATGATACTTTCTGAAATACTGAAATAAGAAGCCAGATAGTGGTAAGATTGTTAATTTTCTGCTCATCTGTTTTTACCACTCACTTCCATTCTTCAGCTGACATTACCAGATCTCCCATGACTTTCTCCTTCCTATATGTTACCTAGAAATTGGAGCAATGTATATTTAGAGGCCACAACTATTTTCACATCAGTACAAATATAGGCCTTCAGGTTCATTTAGTGTGCTCTTCTTACTAAGGTCTTTAATCCATGCTTTGAGTATCCCTTATACAAAATGGTTTGGACTGCAAGCATTTCAGAATTTTCTTTATTTTGGAATATTTGTATATTCATAATGAGATATTTTGGAGATGGGAATGAAACCTAACTCCAAATTCATCTATTTCATGTACACATTGCATACATAGCATGCAGGTAATGTTATATGATATTTTTAGTGTGCCTACATGTGGGCTTTGGCTGGACACATGAGATCAGCTGTGGAATTTTTCATCTGTGTACTGCTGTTTCTCAAAAGGTTTGGATTTTGTAGAATTTTTGTATTGGGATTTTATTAGATTAGAGATGCTCAACCTATTTTCCCACCAAGATTTTGTGTAGTTCAGCCATGACTGTGAGATTGGGGTTTCATAAAAAAGAAAAAAAATCCATTTCCCTGTAGTACCCATTTGTGGGTTCTAGCTATGTTCTTTCGGCCACATAGACCTTATCTGATTCATCTACCTTGTGATAATCCTACAGAAGCCTGAAGATACCTCTTCCGTCTGGATGGTACCACTTTAGGTTTCTCCAAAGTATATGAGCTTAGAACCCAGTTTCATATAAAAAATATTCTCAAGTGTAGAGAAGGATAGAATTGTCATCTCTCTACCTAAGTAATAGATTTCTATTATTGTATTCCAAATCATTTATTTAACCCATAATTTTGGAGGATAGAGAATAGGGAGGTACTAAGATTCCCTCACATGTTTCTAACTTGTTCTTTTCCTTCCCTAGGTCTGTTGTGCTCCTGAGAGTATTGGCCAGTCATGCTCTCTTGACTTTCCTGCCTGGTTACTATACCATAATAGCAGCAAAGACTTGGGATATGGTGCCTACAACTTAAAGTACTCAACTAATGGTTCTTATACTACCCATTCCAACCAGAGAATTATTCTGCACCATTTCCCCAAGGCTGACCTACAGTATTTCTTGCATCCTTGTTCTATCCTGGAAAGCCAGATGCTCCACCCATAACACTACTGGACCTGTTCCTAGTTCAAACTGATAAGAGATAAGAGGAGAGGGTAGGACAATGAATGAGTTATGAACTTTCTGCCTATATTTTTGATCAAGTAGGCCCGAAAGAAGGCCTTTGAGAACTCTCTTGGCTCACATAGACCACTTTAGGGACAAAATGAAACTCTTTTCCTTTGCGCTTCTCCTCCTTGCCTTTTCAGTATGTGCACATGTGTGTGTATACACACACACACACACACACTCTTGGAGGAGGCCGAATACTTTGATTCTCCAACTCGTGTCTAAGACTTAAGTAGCTGTGACAACAACACTGAAGCTAGCACATTTATCAGGCCTTCTTCCTCACAAATAGGCCTCTACTGCTGTTGAGTGGGGATCAGTGGCTTTTTGGATTTAAAAATATCTTTCCTGAAATTCCTTTCATTTTGATACCTCTTATACTCTTGCCTCTTTGGTCCCATCCTGAAAATCAATTTTCAAAAACCCCAAACTCAGACTCTAGATCCTCATAGCCAAATCAGAAGTCAGAGCTTTGGTCTTTGAGGTGACATTGAAGTTCCTGAGTCTTGGTCACTTAGGCACTAAGGCCCTCAATGGGGCCTGGTCCTGGGGGCAGCTCAGGGACCACTTGGTGCTTTCTTGGTTTACAGAAAAGCCAGTTCCTCCTAAGCTTTCACCACCAGTTTTACATGTCAGTCAGCATGAATTAGAACTGCTCTCTCCATGACTTCCTGTAGAACAGGGTAGATAGGACCCTTAGAACTCAGGTGTGAGCAACATGAGTTGTTTTATAGACTTTGTCTTATGTTCATGAAGCCTACTCCCTCACAGTGGGTCAAATTTGGGAGGAAAATGTGGTCAAATGAATGAGGTCATTGTTTTCCTCTGCTTGGGAACAGTTTGTGTAGTCTAGGAGGTTAGATGTAACTGAATTTGTGAAATCCAAGACTAATGATAGGGCACTTTCTCTGAGTTTGGAATGTTAAAATCTACTACACATGTATGGGTGCTGTACTTATATTTTGCACAACACAGTAATCATTGTATTGGGTCTTTGCATGCACTTTTAACTGGGCAAGGCATGGATTAGCATGCTATTTACAGATAAGGAAATTGAGGTTCATAGATGGAACATGACTGGCCTTAAGTTGCTCAGTTATATATGAGTGAACAGGACAGCTATTAAGGGTCTCTTCAGTATCTTGAAATCACTGTTTTCAGGATGGCATTGGAGGTAGGAGTGTTTTGTGTGCTTGGCATATCTGTTTCAGAAAAGGAAGAAATAGGGGTAAGGAAAAATAAGGCCCTTTTGCTAATGTGTAAATAAGAAAAATCCCTTGACCACCAGGCCAAAATTAATCTTTTACTTGCGACTGGCTCTTCTTATCCCAATCAACAGCCTATTGCATTTTATGCCAGATCTGATCCCAATGAAATCTAAGGGACTTTCCATTTAGCATTGACTACAAGAGGTTGGAAAGTGAGAAGAATTACAGGGCAAACAAGAATATTCCTGTTTATTTTATCTCCTTTTTTCTCTGAGGTATGAAAAGGGAAAATGATAAGCAGGAACATCCATTCTACTTGTCTTACCCCATTCATCCTTTGTGAAGTTTAAAGTTGTTCAATTTTGGTTTGCTTGATCTGATGTTTAATTTTACTTAAAAGTGGAAGTGGGGAGAGGAGGCTGAGTGAGAGTCTTAGGAGAAAGGCAGCCTATCTCTACTCTCAGAAAAGGTAGTGTGCTGATAGTATCTTAATCACTGCTGAGGCATCAATGGAGTCTCTGACTGAAAAATAGCACAAGTGTTCATCTGGACCTTACTCCAAGTGAAATAGTATGGAGGCCATTTTTCTTTTCTCACCTTCAAGCCTTTATGCTCTACAGCCTATGCGGTTTTTATTTTCTACATTTTCCCTAAAGTCTTATCCTTGTAGCACTCCCTAGTCCAGCTGAAGGATCCCTTTCAAAAAGCAGTGATGCTGAGTGGCAGCACAGATGAGGGAAAAGAATTTTTCTCGGTGTCTTTTGGGCCTTCTTTACCCCATATTTAAGGTGTTATGTCCCTTCAACCCCAGCAGGGAACAGGGCTAGAGTCTCATTTCTTAGAACCTTAAAAATGTTTTTGGCTGGATGCCCTTGATCAGATGCATTAGCTCACACCTATAGTCCTAGCTACTCAAGAGGCAGAGTTGAAAGGATCATGGCCAATCTAGTAAAAAAAAATTAATAAAACCTCCATCTCAACCAATCAATGATTCGTGTCTATTGTTCCAGCTACATAGGAAAAGTAAATAAGATTATGGTTCTGGAAGGCTTGGGCAAAACATTGAGATTCTATTTTAAAAATACAGGAAATATAAAGCCCTGAGGGTCTGACTTGAGTGGTAGAGCACTTGTTTAGTAACCATGAGGCTCTGAGTTCAAACTCTAGTGTTGTGAGAAAGAAAAAAAACTAAGCCAAAGTAGCCTTCACTCTAGTGCTTGGAATTCCCAAGCTTCCTCCCAGCAGCACCCTCCTCACAGAGACACTCCCCAATCCATTTAGCTACAGTTGAGCAAGGACCAAAATGGGACCCTGCTTATTGCCTTTCCATGCATGGGTCAATTAGATTTTTGCTGTCCTACCTTTTCCCTTCAATTATTTTTGAAACATCATCTATTTTGCCTTTAGCTCTCACCTATAAATCTCACGACCAGAGAAAAACAAGCTCCTTGGGGATCCTATTTTCATTATCAGAGAAGCTTTCTGAGGTTTGGATAGCTAGTCTTGTCATACAAGTGGTGGTAATTATCTGATGCACAATGTGCACTTCATCACTAGATCCTAGCCCTGACAATGAGTGTTCTCCACAGCAAGGTTTCTACTTTTAGGTTTGTATTAAACATCTTTGAGAACAGTTCATCTACAAGTGCTGATTAAGAGTCTTTGGGCCGGGCGCTGGTGGCTCACGCCTGTAATCCTAGCTACTAAGGAGGCTGAGATCTGAGGATCGCGGTTCAAAGCCAGCCCGGGCACGTAAGACCGTGAGACTCCTATCTCCAATAAAACCACCAGAAAACCGGAAGTCGCGCTGTAGCTCAAGTGGTAGAGCGCTCGCCTTGAGCTGAAGAGCTGTGGGACAGCGCCCAGGCCCAGAGTTCAAGCCCCATGACCGACAAAAAAAAAAAAAAAGAGTCTTTGGGGGCAGCCCAGAGATCAGAGTGCTAAAAGAACCTGAGTAAAAGCAAAAAGGTCCCATTGTACTAGACAAGGAATTAGAAGCAGTTGAATTGCAAGTCTGCACCAAGAAGCCTGGCCTGCGGGTATTAGCAAATATGTGTGAGCCAAGGTTTAAGACTTGGCCTTTAAAGGACACCATGTGCCTAGCAGTGTTTCATACTTAAGTCTAACATTAATGCTCAATGAGATAGATGGTAATTATAATAGTAATTTTAAAATATGAATTGATGCCAGCCACAAGTTGCTCATGCCTATTAACCCAACTATGCAAGAGGCTGAGATCTTGAGGATCACGATTCTAGCTAGGCCAGGCAAGAAAGTCTGTGAGATTTATCTCCAATTAATCACCAAAAATATAGAGTGCTAGCTTTAAGCAAAAAAGTCAGGGAGAGCACTTAGGCCCTGAGTTTGAGCCCCAGGACAAGTACACACAAAAATAAGAATTGACTCAGGCTCCCCACTACATGCACCCATACACAGCACAAACACTGTGTGAACCATAACCAGAATCACCATGGTTTAAGGTACTGAAGTTCAGCAACTGGAGTTGGGAATTTGAATACGGTTGAAAAGTTTGTTTGACTTTGCTATCAAAGATATTGTGTGTAAAGATAAATTGAAGGATGCTTTTCTCTATACTTGCTCTTTTGTCATGACCAGTGTTCTACCTATTCTAGCATTTGCTCCAGAAGAGTCTTTTGAAAGATTTTCTTTCATTGCTTTTAATGTGTAGATATCTTTCTTTGAGCACTAGATTTTGCATGTCTTTTCCACTTGGAGATTCCTTAGGGGGTCATAGGAGCATGCACATAGGAAGGGGTACTGAGGCTTGAACTGAAAGCCTCTTGAACTGAAAGCCTCTTGCCTCTGTTTGGATTTTTCACTCAAGGCTTGAGCTCTAACACTTCGGTCTCACCTCTGCTTATGTTGTTTTTTTTTTTTTTTGAGGTTAATTGGAAAGAAAAGTCTCATGGACTTTGCTGCCCAATCTGGCTTCAAGCCATGATCCTGAGATCTCAGCCTCCTGAATAGCTAGGATTACAGGCAGGAGTGAGCCACCAGCACTCAACATACACTTGAAGATTCTTGGTCAGAAGAGGCACTTCATAAAAATATTTTCAACATAGTCCTGAGCTTAGACAATAATTGAGCTGTCTGTATTTGAACTATCAAAAGAAAGCTTTATTTTGTTTGTTTGTTTGCTTTGCCTAAGGAAAGGGGGCATGTTTACTGGAGATGAGTTGGGTTTTTTTTACTCATTTTCCTCTTTGTACACCTTTACTTGAATTTGGTCAAGGGGTCATATGGGAGAGCAACTTTCTCCTCCAAGAGTCTCAAATCTGGACAAGGTAAAGGTGTTAACACTTCCCTAGCTGTCCTGCTACACTCAGCCATCCCTCCTGTCCCTTTTCTACTCCCCTATCCCAGCACTAAGTTCTTTGGTGTTTTATCACATCGAATATAGGTACATTTTAATTACCCATCTTGTAAATGAGTTATTTATAGAGATTTTGTTCGTTCTTGAGCCATATGCATGCGTGGATACTGGCAGGGTTGTGTTTGGTTTACAATACTCTGCAAAT